CTATGAGTTCACACTCTCCGGATTGCAGAATCAGCCCTTTGTCACGAAAGGGGTCAGTGCCGGATCACTGCGTAGTGGGCGGCGGCGCCGTTGCAAAGGTAACGTGGGAAGTAATCATCCATTAGTCAGATGTGTTGGTATCTGAGGTCGCAGGAAAGTAAATGGAAAGGGGCGGGGTGGATGGGAGGAAGAGAAGCCACTTGAAAACGAGATCCGATCAACGCGCTAAGCCATCCGCTCCGTGTAGGTGAGGATCCCTCCCACTCGCAGACAGGTAGGCAAACAGAGAGTTCTCTGGGATCCGACCTAATCTAGGAAAGGGCTTAGTGAAAAATCAGCTGGTCCAATTAGCAGAGTCGAGAGGCATGGCTGAGCCAATTAACATCTGTCAGTGTCCTGGAATACCGGCCACGGCCAAGAGTCCAGTCCAGGGGTCAAATACCGGTTTAGCAGCAGTCAGAGTCAATGTTCCCTCTAAGCTGTGGAGTCTTGTGAGCAAAAATCCTCCTTTGCGAGCTACTGGCATTAAAGTTGTGAGCGAGCGATTGGGCTACTGCATAAATTAGTGTGCTCTGGAGCCACCCTTCGCGAGCCAAGACAAAACTGTGTGAGCCAGAGGCTAAAAAACTATGAGCTAGCTCACACTAACTCAGCTTAGAGGGAACACTGGTCAGGGTTCATGGGTTGTTCAGGAAAGCAGAGACAAGGCAGTCCAAAAAGTTGTTGATCGGTAAGGCTCAGGTAGGTTTATTCCGCTCTATTCTGCTATGGTCAGGCCTCACCTGGAGTCCTGTGTCCAGTTTTGGGCACCACATTTTAGGAAGGATGTTGACAAGCTCAAGCGTGTCCAGAAGAGGGCAACCAGGATGGTGAGAGGGTTGGAATCCAAGTCTTATGAGGAAAGGCTGAAAGAGTTGGGTATGTTTAGCCTGGGAAAGAGAAGGCTTAGAGGGGACACGATTGCAGTCTTCAAATATCTGAAGGGCTGTCATGTAGAACATGGAGCAGATCTATTCTCTCTTGCTCCGGATTGCAAGACTAGATCGAATGGGTGGAAATGACAAGGGCATGGATACTGGAGAAACTTCCTAACTGTCAGAGTGGTTGAGCAGTGGAACGGACTGCCTCGGGAAGTAGTGGATGCTCCTTTGCTGGACGATTTCAAGAAGAGGCTAGACAACCATCTTTCGGGTATGTCGTAGTGCTATCTTTCAGCTATGCTCCTGCAGAGTGCAGAGGGTTGGACTAGATGACCTGCAAGGTCCCTTCCAACATTCTATGATTCTATGAGGTCCAAAAAACAGAGTCAAGGGTCAGTCCAAAGGTCACAGGAGGCAGGCAGAGTCCAGAGTTGTGGTCACAAAGTTCACAGGGTTGTGACGAGTTGCTTCCACAATCTGCAGTTCTCCAGGTCTGATTTATGTAGGCATTCCTTAACAAGCCTGATTTACAGCCATCTGTTCGGAGGTTCTCCTGCTCTTACTCAGAACTGCTATCAGTAGTAGCCAGTGCCAAGCTAAGAGGTGGGCCCTCTGTCTGCTTGTCCTTAAGTCTTGCCAGAGCTTTTCCCTTTGCTGTCCAATTAACGAGGGAGAGCTTGGTGGGCTACTTTCCTGCAGCTGATCTTCCTCGGGTACTTCAGAGCTGTGGGGGGGGGGTCAAGGGCAGCTGCCGGCAATGAATCTTGAGGCTCCTGTATTTCCGATTCCCTAACTTTAGCTGGTTCAGAGCTGGCTGCATGTGGCTCCTCGACTACCGAGGAGTCTTCAGCCACACTGGACTCAAGCTGGTCAAGCTGGCCCACGACAGTCAGGGACGGAATGTATCATCACCAATTGTACAGAAGGAGAAATTACAAATCCAGACACGGCCTCCACAGTAGCCAGACCGAGACGCTGGCCTAAGGTGTCGGGGTGGTGGTGGTGGGATGTGTGGCAACAGAGACAGCAAATTATGGAACACATTACTGAAGCACGAATGGAGCATACAACCTGCCATCCCACTGAAATGAAGGAGACTGACAAAATGCCTAAATTTGGCCGGGATCATACCCATTCGCTGTTCATCTCCCCAACAATTTATCCCTCACGAGGGTGACCAGATTCAGGTGGGTAGCCGCGTCGGTCTGAAGCAAGGGAACAAAGTTTGGCCCGATGCAGCAGGTCTCTTCTGATGGTCTTATGTGCTTAAGAGATGGCGCAACAGGCTCCTTTCCCCCGCACCTCCTCACCGCCTTGTGAAATCTGACATACCTTTTGACAGTTTGCAATCGTAACCCTTCTTTGCCTCCTGGGTTAGGCTAGGCAGGCAGAGTCTTCAAAGCACTTCTTTCAAAAAAAAAATAACCCCTGCCAACTAGAAGTCCGGGCACCTGGCCTACTGTACTTTGACATCTCCAGATCAGTGTTCCCTCTAAGCTGAGTGAGTGTGAGCTAGCTCACAGTTTTTTAGCCTCCGGCTCACACATTTTTGTCTTAGCTCAGGAAGGAGGGCTCCGGAGACAACTAATTTATTTGTTGTTGTTCAGTCGCACAGTCGAGTCCGACTCTTCGCGACCCCATGGACAAGATCACGCCAGGCCCTCCTGTCTTCAGCCGTCCTCTGATGTTTGCTCAATTTCATGTTCGTTGCATCGATGACACTGTCTAACCATCTCATCCTTTGCCGTCCCCGTCTTCTTTGACACCCAATCTTTCCCAGCATCAGGGTCTTCTCCAGGGAGTGCTCCCTTCTCATTTGGTTGCCAAAGTATTTGAGCTTCAGTTTCATTATCTGGCCTTCCAGGGAACAGTCAGGGTTGATTTCCTTGAGGATGGACTGATTTGATGCAGTAGCCAAATTGCTCGCTCCCATCTTTAATGCCAATAGCTCACAAAGCAGAATTCTTGCTCACAAGACCTAACAGCTTAGAGGGAGCATTGCTCCAGATCTGTATTCTTAAGCAGAGCAGCAGCATGTGCTATCAACGGGTCATGAGAATTCTTGAGAAGAGCTCAACCGGGGGCAGATTAGGGCTGCCGTCACCTTGGTGGGCACAAGGGTTCCCTCACTGCCAGGGGGTCGCCTCCCACCACCGCTCAGCTGGCCGGCGAGGGGGAAAGCCAGGAGACTCCGAAGGATTGGCCACACGGTCTGACACACGTGTCTGGAAGTGATCCCGGAATGTTGCCAGGGGATGCTGGGGACGCTCTAGCATTTGGCCAAAGCCACAGAGTGCCCAGTACCCCCAGCAATGTGCTGACATCCTTTCCAGGAGAATGGGGAATGACATCAAAGTGTCCCTTGCGATGCCCTAGGGATGTCCGTCTTGCTGTCTTGCCTTTTCAGCCCTGGCCCCTACCTGGTGGAATGACCTCTCGTACAGGCCCATAGCTACAGTGGGGCATCTTGGGGCTAGGCCCCCTGACTTACTGGCAAGGTCCCACGACTTCCCAGCATAGCGGGAGACCGCGCTACCGGGATAGCTGGCCACCAACATTGGGTGGTTGTTCCCATCTTGGTTGATTAATATAGCTCCGTGTTATAGGATGGTTTTACTGTGGTTTTAAATGTGTATTTTATTGTATGTCTTACTGTATTTTATATTCCGGCTTTGCTGCCTGTGAACTGCCCTGAGCCTTTGGGAGGGTGGGAGAGAAATTAAATAAGTAATAATAATAAATAATAATAATCCAGCCCAGGGCTCCTGAATGGCAGCAGGTGCAGAGAAGGAGCCGAGTATCGATTAGCCAGGGCCCCATAAGAAATTTAAATGCCTCCCAACTTTAGAAATCCTGGCTACGGGCCTGCTCCTCTATGAGATCAGTTTTTACAGTTCCGCAGGGCCTGCAAGACGGAGCTCTTCCGCCAGTCTTTTAGTTGAGTAAACCAAGAAGGGATAACAGTTATCCATATAGGAAATACATCAAACAAGCAGACACTGTGATGTGAATGACTAGGACAATTAGTAAATCTTTTCAACTTTATGAATACAATTTTACAGTTTCACAAAGAAAAGGCCATCATTCTCAAGGAAAAGTCCATATTCTCCATCATTCTCAGTGAGCAC